GGGATCGATTTAATTGAAATTTTGAACGATGACAAAGTTGCCTAGGAGTAACGTAAAACTGAGCGCACGGCTAAAAAATACAGGATTGGACTCGATGTTTTCCAGTTTTCTGTTTTTTTTTTGTCGAGATCAACTCATTTTGTGTTGAATGTTGAAATGTTTGGCTACATATCAAACTTCAATGAATGTTCCTAATTAATTAACAAGGCAGACCTACTGTGCTTATTTTATTTGCTCAAATATCTTGTGTCGCAAATATCCAAATTTCAATGGTTTCGTCAAGATTTTACAAAATAATGATTGAAATTGAACTAAAGATGTAATGAAGCTCAAAATTTCAGTTTATATCTATTTTTTTAATTTTACAACAACTTGTAAGTTATACCCTGAGTGTATCGTTATTTCGTAGCAAAAAGAGCAATACATATTTATAAATAAAAGGAAAAGCTAATGTTATGCACCCTATTTCGTTTTTTCGGCTATTTTTCCATGGTTTAAACCTAGTAACTGATGTTATACAACAATATGAGACTGCCTTAACGGGATAAGTCATTTAATATGCGAATGCACTGAATTTGGCACTCCGGCCAAATTCGCAATTATGCCGAAAACGACTTTTTTTTGTATTTTTAACTTTCAAGTTGGTCTGCGAGATACAATTTAGTGGAATCGCATATTAAATTCCTTTTTCCCTTTTAAACGAAAGTCATGCTGTACAAAATAAGCTGTTAGAATTAACTTAAAAAATATACAGAAAAAAAAATATTATATGGTTCATATACGTATACAAAGTGACATATAAATCCGAACACCCAGTTTAAATGGTTTTACTTTAATAAAAGTTAGTGAATGTAATCTTACTGTAAATAACAAGTGAAAAAATTTTCAGCCTTATCAGTTGGACATTCCGGTTTTTATACTGCTTTTTTTAATTCACTAACGCTCTAAAAATGAATATTTCAGCCGCAGTAAAGAATCAACGTTGGCGGATTTTGGTTCTTGACATCCTTTACGATCGGTTACGATGCCTAGAGTACGGAGACCTGTACGATTTCGTCAACTTAGTGAGTTTGATAGGGGCCGTATAGTGGGACTTCGGGAAGCTGGACTTTCTTTTCGGGCAATTGCAGTTAGAGTGCAAAGAAGTGTGGACACTGTGGTTAGGTGTTGTCAGGCATGGCTTCGAGAAGGCCGTACGCAAAGAGCAAGGGGCACTGGACGCCGCCGTAGAACAACAGACCGTGAAGATCGCCGCCTAAGATTATTGGCCTTAAGGGACCGTTTCTCCACTACCAGGTCCATTGCAAATGAATGGTTTGCAGAACACGGAAGACCTATTGGCATGCGAAGTGTTTACCGACGAATGAGAAGCTTTGGCTTGTTTTCATACCGGCCACACTGGGTCCTCCCTTTAACTCGAGAACACCGACGTAATCGTCTTGAGTGGTGCAGAGAACGGTCACTCTGGGATCAGGAATGGAACAGCATTGTCTTTAGTGGTGAAAGGAGGAATCCACAGTTTTTTGTTGAAAGACATCACACTGTTGGAGTTACGGTTTGGGGTGCTATAGCTTATGGTTCCAGGTCACCTTTAATCTTCATCAGAGGTAACATGAACGCGCAGCGTTATATCCACGAAGTTCTAGAGCCCCATCTTTTACCCTATCTTGACACCCTGGCAGATCCAACTTTCCAACAAGATAATGCCCGACCATATGTTGCAAGAGTCACAATAGACTTCTTTCAACATAATGATGTCACATTGTTACCATGGCCACCAAGATCTCCCGACTTATCCCCAATTGAGCACGTGTGGGATATGATGGGTAGGAGATTGCTCAATTTGCAGCGTCCTCCTCAGACTCTAGAAGCACTTCGAGAGGAGTTGGTGGTTGCTTGGAATGAGATACCACGGGAGGACATTGACCACCTGATCAGAAACATGCCTAAGCGCGTTGGAGAATGCGTAGCACATCAGGGTGCATCCACACATTATTAAAGGTCAAAGGGCTTTAAAGCAGTGCAATCATTTTGAAATTTTTATCATTTACTTATTATGCTTCATTAAATACTTATACAAAATTTTATTAAAATAAAACCATTTAAACTGGGTGTTCTGATTTATATGTCACTTAGTATATTATCAATTGCTATTTTTCCTACAAAATAATATTCTCAGACTATAACTTATAGGGCGTTACACTCAATTGAATTAAAAAAAAATAGAACAAAACTGAATGCGGCCGTCGAATTTTGAATTCTCGAAGCATCGTCAGTTTAAGATAAAACAAGTTGGTAGCGCTTAAAATTTTGTGTTGTCTCACATAAACTGAAAAAATATAATATTTGAATAGATAGAAAAAATTTACTAAATAAACACAAAAGTCTATTTCACCAAATAATTAACAACATTATTTCACCATTTATTTATATCATCAACTGCTATTTTTTCTATAAAATAATAAACTCAGAGTATACCTTACAAGACGTTGCAACCACTAAGATCAAAAAATAAATAAAAATAAGACTGAATGCGGCCCTGGAATTTTGAAATCCCAAAACATCTTTAGTTCAATTTTTATCATTGCCTAGTAAAAGGTTGATAAAATAGAAGAAGAAGTAATGAAATTTGATTAAAAAACAAAAGATCTACAATATTTTGCCAATTATTTAAAAACATTCCTTTGCTGTTTGGTACATAAACGAATTGGTCACTCTCTGGTTTTAGAGGATGTTGATTTAGATAAAATACAAAAATATTGAGCAAGTCAAGTCCGGCCCTGGATTTTAAAACCCTCCGTCTAGATTTATATCCGTTAAAACTGAATTTAAAACTTTTATATTTTCAGATACGAAAAGGCCTTGGCCCCAAGTATACTTTATCTGAAGTCTCTTGAAACACTGTGAAATACCGGGTGCGTTTTATATATCTATATTTAACACGCTCTGTTGCTGCAAAAATCGCCAAATTTCGCAGCAAATATCCCCCGTATAAGATCAAAGGCAGTTTCACCGGTCCACGTGGAGTAAAGCACGCCTATGCGTGGACATAGCCAATGAGAAAGCGTGTATTTCAGAGCTCCGAACAAGTGCAGGTGGCTACTGAAAATTGAAACAGTTTAGCCAGTGCCGTGTAGCAGTGAATAAACATGTTTTCTTTAGTCTGTCCGTGTTTTTTCATAGATTTTATTAGTTTGTGTGTTTTTGACTTTTGAATACTCAGTTTACTTGTTGATTTAATTGTTGTGTTGATTGTTCTTGTGTGTCCTAAATATGGCTCTTTGGTGACCTTGGGAAAATGCTCCAAGCCACGAGGAGATGGTTGATGAACCTGTGCAGGCAGAATTCTTTCATAAAGATTTAGACGAACAGACCCAAAGAGTAATCCTAAATATGTATGATTGTCTGAAAAACGAAAATCCAGATTCCTCGCAAAATCAAATTTAAAACAGAATTTGTATCCTGACAAAAATCAGTCGGTCTACCATTTATCGGGTTATAAAAAGGGGAGATGTAGTCAACCATTCCTTCCACAGAAAGCCCATAGGGCAAAAATTAAAAAGAATAGACGTGGGTTTTCAGGAAGATATTCGTCGTATAATATACGGATTTTATAAAGAAAATTTGGTGCCCACGTTGGAAATGATACGGGATAAATTAAAGGATTATCCTGAAGATTTTTATAATTACAAATGCTTAGACTCACTGCACTGTATTGTAAAACTGTGTGGTTTTCAATACAAAAAATTAGATAAAAGAATGGTGATTATGGAGTCGTCTCGAATCGTTGAATTGCGCCAAGAATTTTTGCACAAAGTTAAAATCTATAGAGAGCAGGAAAGAAATCTGATTTACCTGGATGAAACGTGGCATGATACCCATGATGTTGTGCAGTACGGCTGGGTTGACGACAGCAACAAGTGCATTTTAAATGCACCATGCAACCGTGGAAAACGAATCATTATTCTCCATGCTGGCAGTGAAAATGGATTTATACCTGATGCCTTGCTGTTATCTGCCAAAAATATCAAAGAATCATGTGCCGACTATCATGAGGACATGACCTCCGACTTATTTGAAAAGTGGATAGAGCAGCAGTTAATACCAAACATTTCCCCAAATTCAGTGATTATTATGGACAATGCGCCATACCATTCCCGACAGAAAAACAAAATTCCGAATACAGGCACAAAAAAACAAGACATTATTGATTTTATGAAGGATAAGGGAATGGAAATACCACAAAAATCAACCAAAGCCATATTATTGGATCTTATTAAAAGACAAAAATTTGAAAAAGAGTATGTTGTTGACAATCTGTTTCAGCAAAATGGCCATGAAGTATTACGTCTACCTCCCTATTACTGCATTTTTAACCCGATTGAGTTGGTCTGGGCTGCTTTAAAAAAAAAAGTAAGAAAACATAATCAGACCCCTCAATTAAGTGAATCGCTATTGGCCACAATAAGAGATGCAGTATCTCATATTGCTGCCACTGACCTATGGAAGCAGTGTTCTAGGCATATTATTGAAAAAGAAAATGAATATTGTGTTTTGCCTCCTGTAAATCCCGTTGTAATTCCTCTACAAGATGACTCTAGCGACAGCTCCGAAGGCGAGGATGATATATAAATACCTATAATGTAAGTCTTTATATACCATTTTATATACCTACCTGCTATGTAAATATTTGCCTATGTCAAACGTTGGAATTCTGTAATTTTTCCATTTCTTAACTTTCAGTCAACATAAATTAAACTCCCAATATAAGTATTTTTTATCCCAAATCAAAAAAATAAGAAGATAGTAAAATCCATTTATTGTGATATAAAAACATTATTATTATCGTTCTAAATAAATGACCGCACGCCTATGATACGTCATGAAATTACAAAGGACGCGCCGACCAAAGGTTTTTATGCTATTTCAAGTGACTTCAGATAAAGTATACCTACCATTTCACTATGTCCATTTATGGTAAAAATTTTATTTTTTTTTAGGATGTATCCACCTGAACTGACATACGTGTCAATATTTTAGCGCCAGTGCCTTATTGATATCTGTCTGGCGTCTGTTTACGTCGTTACGTTACGTTTGAGCGATGCCGTACGTCGTAAACGACCGGAATTGTGGGCCGATAATTCGTGGATTTTGCACGTCGATAACGTGCCGTCTTATCGGGTCAGAATTGTGCTTGATTATTTGACCAAACGTCAAGTAAATTCCATTAAACAAGCGTATGCACCTGATACGGCACCGTGTGACTTTTTTCTCTTCCCAAAGCTCAAAGTACCACTTCGGGGAAAGATATTTCAGTCCATAGATGACATCAAGCAGAATGCGACGAGAGAGCTAAAGGCCCTTTGGCGAGTTACCAGCGGTGCACGGACAAGTAGGTGAAACGCTGACACATGTCTGTTGCTTCAAAAGGATGTTATTTTGAAGGCGATAGAATAAATCTGACTGAAAATTAAACCGTTTTCGTTTTATTGTTAAATTCCCGGTACTTTTTGATCATAGGGCATGTCTTTACAATATTCTTGCACGAAAAAAATCTTATTCCTGACACAGAGTAAGAACTTACAATGATGTTGCTCGTAATATTCTTCGGGAATTCAATTACAATGTTCTTATGCGGAAATTCCAGTACGCTCTTGTATACTAAGTGACATATAAATCCGAACACCCAGTTTAAATGGTTTTATTTTAATAAAAGTTGGTGAATGTATTTATCTTACTGTAAATAACAAGTGAAAAAATTTTCAGCTTTATCAGTTGGACATTCCGGTTTTTATACTGCTTTTTTTTAATTCACTAACGCTCTAAAAATGAATATTTCAGCAGCAGTAAAGAATCAACGTTGGCGGATTTTGGTTCTTGACATCCTTTGCGATCGGTTACGATGCCTACAGTACGGAGACCTGTACGATTTCGTCAACTTAGTGAGTTTGATAGGGGCCGTATAGTGGGACTTCGGGAAGCTGGACTTTCTTTTCGGGCAATTGCAGTTAGAGTGCAAAGAAGTGTAGACACTGTGGTTAGGTGTTGTCAGGCATGGCTTCGAGAAGGCCGTACGCAAAGAGCAAGGTGCACTGGACGCCGCCGTAGAACAACAGACCGTGAAGATCGCCGCCTAAGATTATTGGCCTTAAGGGACCGTTTCTCCACTACCAGGTTCATTGCAAATGAATGGTTTGCAGAACACGGAAGACCTATTGGCATGCGAAGTGTTTACCGACGAATGAGAAGTTTTGGCTTGTTTTCATACCGGCCACACTGGGTCCTCCCTTTAACTCGAGAACACCGACGTAATCGCCTTGAGTGGTGCAGACAACGGTCACTCTGGGATCAGGAATGGAACAGTATTGTTTTTAGTGATGAGTCTCGATTTTGTTTAGGCATGCACGATGGTCGTGCCAGGGTTAGAAGGCGACGTGGTGAAAGGAGGAATCCACAGTTTTTTGTTGAAAGACATGTTCATCACACTGTTGGAGTTATGGTTTGGGGTGCTATAGCTTATGGTTCCAGGTCACCTTTAATCTTCATCAGAGGTAACATGAACGCGCAGCGTTATATGCACGAAGTTCTAGAACCCCATCTTTTACCCTATCTTGGCACCCTGGCAGATCCAACTTTCCAACAAGATAATGCCCGACGACATGTTGCAAGAGTCACAATAGACTTCTTTCAACATAATGATGTCACATTGTTACCATGGCCACCATGATCTCCCGACTTATCCCCAATTGAGCACGTGTGGGATATGATGGGTAGGAGATTGCTCAATTTGCAACGTCCTCCTCAGACTCTAGAAGCACTTCGAGAGGAGTTGGTGGTTGCCTGGAATGAGATACCACAGGAGGACATTGGAGAATGCGTAGCACATCAGGGTGCATCCACACATTATTAAAGGTCAAAGGGCTTCTAAGCAGTGCAATCATTTTGAAATTTTTATCATTTACTTATTATGCTTCATTAAGTACTTATACAAAATTTTATTAAAATAAAACCATTTGAACTGGGTGTTCGGATTTATATGTCACTTAGTATATTTGAGATGCAACTTCTTATGATCTTTTTGTTGCAAAATATACTTTATAACAACAGAAACAACAAGGCAATATGGTACTGCTTCAGCGCAAAATTGCGTATCATTACAGGTAGCCCATTAGTACATTAGAATCGATGAATCAGCCTTTGGCCTGAAGTGTAAGACTCTTTCAAAATTGAAAATTATTAAACACTGTGAAGGGAAATCTTGTATTGCACTGTTGCTCCATTCTTATTTAACTGGCATATATAGAAGGATATTAATACCTTTCAAAGAACAAAATTGACAGGACTATTTTTACTAACACTGATTCATGTCCTAGAAGAGCTGTAGCAGATAATATAATCAATTTACTTTTATCGATTATCGACTTCTATTGATTTGTCTCTGTTCTATATATCGGTCGCATTAGTGGTTCTCGACCGTACTTACGGGTTATTATTTTTTATTGAAACTGGAACTGATATTGCTTATTTACGAAAGGACGAAGTTATTATTTAGAGAAACTCGCGGTCAGACGAAACTTTAGAGCATTCCCCTTGACCTCTTCCATGATCAACCAATTATTCAACCAACCTGATGGATTCTTTTTAAATTGGTATTAAAACTCTTCAATAATCTGTGACACTCGATACTTTATTCATAAGAATACTTCTTCCGATTATTTATGAAAAACAATATCAGTTAAATGGCTGTCGCGGCTGGCCGGGCGGTAGTCCATTCTCTTAACCCAATTTTGAAGCACATTTTCGATAGTTTGTGGGTCTATTTCATCAATTGTTTGAGGACCCCATAGGAAGTAATCCATGGGCGTCAAATAACAGCTGCTGGCTGGCCAATGAACGTCTCCAAAACGGCTTATAACACTTAAATTTTCTAAGATGAAACTCACGTCATTCAACACAGGGTCTCAGAGGCATGGATCATAGGAAAGGGGTTGTTTGGGTCTTTTCCAATCTACAATTTATTAGGAAACCACTACTATTTTATATGGTCCCAAACTATAACTGCCATTTTCTACCGTCTACATTCTGTACACAGTCAAAGAATGATTGAGAAATAGCAAAAGACAACTTCATCAAAAATGGAACAGTCTCAAAAGTATCAATTTTCTTAAAATTCTTAAAAGCTGTGATAACTCAAAAACGGTGCAGAATTACATAAGAACATTTCTAACTAGTGGGACACCACGTATCAGCTAACTAACCTTTGTTTATATGAAACTACGAGTAGATCAATTAGACAGCATTTCCAGGTTGAATTACATACTAAGTGGAAATTTTCCTTTGTGTTCTAGTAATCAAGTTTCAGTCAATGAATGCACATATACCAAGTCTGGCTTCTCGGAAATATGTTTTCCTCTGAAGTTTTAACTGATTAGAAATAGCCTTAAAACATTTATTTGAATTAAAATTCATCATCCTTCATTTGTCAGCTACATTTATGAGATCATTCTTCATGTCTCAGACTAATGAACAAAATGCGGTTCATCGTAAAATTTCGGTTATTAAATTTTTATGTTTTATAAGTTGTTAAATTTTGCGTACATGATTATTACATAAGGTACTCGTTATTTTTATGTTTTTTTAAATGTTAGTTTTTAATATCCATTGAAAATTTATTACGTTACGATTAAGTGTTCTCATAACTGGTCCACACAAAATGATCTAAGCTCGTTTGTCGGGTTTCAAAGAAAATCAGACTTATTTGGATTCGGCCGGACTTTTTGTGCACTTACTGACTCAAATTTGGTACCAATACAATAAAGTGCAATTGATTAATACTTCGAATGATTTGGCTTTCAGAGAAAGGAGTCAGGAATAGGTATTTTCCCGAGTTTATTTGAATATCGTTCATTACACAGAAGCATTTGCATAAAAAATTAATAATATTTCAATATGTCTTGACATGCAAGTGGTTAGACATAACCGTTCTAAACAACAGAAACTATGCAAATTTCAATGTTAACACGCAATGGTTATTCCAAAACTAATCACTGGAAATAGTGATTCATATACTTCGCGTCTTCGTCTACAGCTCTATATGACATAAATCACACCTTCACAAAAATCTTTGGACCTTGGTCTATCTAGTTATACAGGGTGAGTTTTTAGTGTTGGCTCGATCGGTAACTACGTTATTACGCATGTTATCTAAAAAAGTTATACTAAGTGACATATAAATCCGAACACCCAGTTTAAATGGTTTTATTTTAATAAAAGTTGGTGAATGTATTTATCTTACTGTAAATAACAAGTGAAAAAATTTTCAGCCTTATCAGTTGGACATTCCGGTTTTTATACTGCTTTTTTTTATTCACTAACGCTCTAAAAATGAATATTTCAGCCGCAGTAAAGAATCAACGTTGGCGGATTTTGGTTCTTGACATCCTTTACGATGCCTAGAGTACGGAGACCTGTACGATTTCGTCAACTTAGTGAGTTTGATAGGGGCCGTATAGTGGGACTTCGGGAAGCTGGACTTTCTTTTCGGGCAATTGCAGTTAGAGTGCAAAGAAGTGTAGACACTGTGGTTAGGTGTTGTCAGGCATGGCTTCGAGAAGGCCGTAAGCAAAGAGCAAGGGGCACTGGACGCCGCCGTAGAACAACAGATCGTGAATATCGCCGCCTAAGATTATTGGCCTTAAGGGACCGTTTCTCCACTACCAGGTCCATTGCAAATGAATGGTTTGCAGAACACGGAAGACCTGTTGGCATGTTTTGGCTTGTTTTCATACCGGCCACACTGGGTCCTCCCTTTAACTCGAGAACACCGACGTAATCCCTTGAATGGTGCAGACAACGGTCACTCTGGGATCAGGAATGGAACAGTATTGTCTTTAGTGACGAGTCTCGATTTTGTTTAGGCATGCACGATGGTCGTGCCAGGGTTAGAAGGCGACGTGGTGAAAGGAGGAATCCACAGTTTTTTGTTGAAAGACATGTTCATCACACTGTTGGAGTTATGGTTTGGGGTGCTATAGCTTATGGTTCCAGGTCACCTTTAATCTTCATCATGAAGGCGCAGCGTTATATCCACGAAGTTCTAGAACCCCATCTTTTACCCTATCTTGACACCCTGGCA